AAATATTGACTACAATGTGTGTGCGATAAGCACTTCAATAGCATTTCTGACTTAATTCTGCTAACTATCAGCCAGAGGTTATTTTTACAGTTATTATTTCTTACTTTTTCTACAATAAATTTAACCAGGGGAATTTATTATAATTTAAAAAATGTAAAATCATCTTTTTAGTTGTCTGTTTCTTTAAAATTAGGTTTATAAATTCTAATTTTAGCTAATGTTTTATTATTGTGATGCGTTTTACTGTACGTGTGGCCTTGACGTATTTATTTCTCGAAAAGATCGGCGTAAACAAATTACTCGATGACGGTTTAACAACACAATAATCGCAAATGTGCCATTATTTCACGTTCCTGATAACAAATAAGCCGCGCAAATCGAAACTATAAACAACGAATCAACTTTTTGCGTTTTCTCTCAATATTATTTAAATTATAGCATTACTAGTCATAATAATAATCAAAATGCAGTCAACATTATTTCTGTGTGATGGTGTGATGTATTCAGATAGATAATAAGGTCATTTTACTTAATAAATTCCATTGAATCAAGTGTATTCATTGAATGTATTATAATTGTACACGCAATCTGTCGTAATTACCGAACGTTTAACTTGTTCGACGCGTTCGACTTGTTTACGCTTCCGTTTGACGATCGTGCAAAATAGAACGGAATTTGGACTGACATGACCGTACCAAGGTTTTTTCTAAGTGCATTAACACCACATTATACATGACATATTTTATTAGCTTTTATGACTCGCATCGTACATTTCGATCGTGAATTAATTGAATGATGGATACATTGTGAAATACATAGTGTAGTTTGAATTATAAGTAGGTATTTGTGTAGTCATTATTATTTAATGATGATGTGATGTTGTGAGGCGCATAGGTCAAATATTATTTATGAGCATCGTAATCTAACGTCACAGCAGTTATTTTTAATAACAAACTGAGATTGTAATGTAAATTCATACAGATAGGAATATTTCCGTCGATATTCCATGAAATTCATAATGTACTTCACTTTAATTAGCAAGATTTAATTTAAATTTGCGCAAATGAAACTTTTAATTAACATTTATAGCTTTACGTTTTGTAAAATCATTGATCGGGAGTATTTTGTCATTTTACTGTTGATTATGCTTCGAAATTGTTGCGATATTAATTCCGGGTATTCTGCTTCGGTCGAGAAGCTTTTCCATTTTATTTTCCGTTGAATTCCGCCGCGTTATTCACAAAATCTATGTTAATAAATAAACAAGCGAGTGCGGCGCGTGTGCGAATTGCGTTTTCAAAAACATTCCGAAACACATTCTCTCGCATGTCCGAAATGTTTTCATATTTGCGCAACGCGGCCGCGCCGTATTCCAGGGAATTTTCTGCGCTGCTGAACGTTTAGCACACAACGAACGCACAATGACCACGAATGAAAGTTGGTATTAATTAATGTGCCAATGCGAATGTACGCATATAAAAGTCGACTCGTTTGAATGGAAACGCGTTTATGTTTGCTTTAATCTTGGCGGTTGTGGAAATTGTGCATTTTTCAATGTTGAATCATGTGAGAAATACAGCAAATTCTCTTCATGCCTCATTACGTTGTAACATATTGCTGTTATTTCACTGCCGGGTATCATGAATTTTTATTTTTGTTTAATTTAACTATTGTCGTGCTGTTTGTGAACGTGTTTGTTGTTATTGCATTTGAAATTGTTTGTGACTGCGTCAGTTGGTTATTGCTTTGACCTTTTATCGTGTACGTTTCTATCGTTGTAGGTTTTTTCAATGTACGTAATACGTGTAATTGTTTTGTTACGTTGGCGGACGCTATTTGCTCGGTAGTGTTTTTCTGGGTATCGTCCAGAAATAGAACTAGTTACTACAATTGAGTAAATTGTATATAAAGAACGACTCAAAACAAATCGATAAAATTAGAAAAGAAGATGTTCTGTTGCCTCATTCAATTTAATTCATCGTACAGTTCTGTATTATTAGTTATTTAAGGTTCCAAATTATTATTATCACTATTTAAACTGTTTATTTGGTGGTACACTAGTACATCTGATAAAATTTGATGTGAGATAAACCTCACGAGCCGTACTTATGCCGTTTCGTCCTTAAATTTTCGTAAATTTCTTTTAAAATGTGATTTTTTACTAGAAAAACACGGTTTAAGTTTGTCTCACCACTAAACTATGGCATTTAACCAGATGTGATTGAGATATACTATTTCCTATTGTCTATCAGGTCGATGTTGAATATTCTCAACGCAAGATCAAAGCAAAATTTGCTCTTTGTGAACTGTCGAGCACGTTGAAAGCATTTGGTAGTCTCGATCAAGTACAAGCATGAGCACGAATATCGAATGCATTTAACTGAATCAAACCACTGACAAATCTAATTTCAGGAATGCCTCCAAACTGCAACGTTAGGACGATACAAATTAATACTCCTTCAACTTCAGCAAATTACTGATAAACTACTTGATAAATTATTAAAACATTACGCGTTTTTAAACAAGTAATTTTAATGATAAACCATGTACACGTGATTAGTTTGATGTGGTTAGAACGGTTAGCGTGATTAAATTAATAGTAGAGCAGGATGCGGTCGGGCGAACGGTTGAAATCATAGGAAGTCGTGACTTTCAAACACGGAATTAATCATGATCAAATAATAATAATTATTGTCGCTCATTGACACCGTGTTGTTACAGTCGAGTGCTTACAGGCAATTTATTATAATTGTAATTGCACAAGAGCAGCAATTGTTACGATGATGTGATATCATCGCATAGAGATGTTTAGATGTGTTTGTGCACGTGCTCGTTTACATCCGCGATTCTACTCTGTTTGATGATTCACACGAATCACGATTGTGATCTGGTATGTTAAATGGTTGTATGTGGTAACTTAACGTCAAGTACAAGCTTTACTGCTATTAAACTACTAGTAAATAGTTGAATTAAATTTAAAAAAATAAAAAAATGAATTTTTTGTTGTGTTTTGTTCTAAATCTTGATTGCATCAGCTGTATCAATAATTAGTTTTTAATACTGTTTTTAAGAGATACTTATTACTTGTAATTTTACTACTTTGGCAAAAAAATATGACTCTGAGGCGCCTAATGGAACATAATGAAAGTGAAAGTCGGACGTCGGTTTCAAGTTACTTTCTACTTGATTATTGCTATTGCGAGGCGCACTTTGAGCGAGGAGGTGATATTTTTATCGCACGTTTACTCATTTGCACGACGTTATTAACCGCGGCGAATTCGTGTCGATGTGTTCATTCATTAATGTTTAAATGCTTCGTTAACTGTGTTAATTACATAGATTTTAATACGTCTCAGATCATTTCCAATAATTATGTAAATGCGAAGAGTTACATGTGTACATTTGATTTTTTTTCTATTTAAATTAATGTATAAATATTTATATTAATTAACATTATGCGGACTGGCTGGTTCAACTAGTTTCTTTTTCAAGCGATGCTCAAATTAACTTCTCTTTAACATAGTCGTACAATAATGTAACTGGTTGTTGACCATGTGAGTAGTTTTTTAGAACTGAAATGTGTTTGAATGCATGAATGCATAAAAGGATTGTGCATCATCACATGTATGGTGGGATAATTGATTCCACGATTTCGTTTTGCATTCCTTTTTGATAAACGCACGCTCGCGGCGACGCGCTTTGTGAATGCACGTCCGTAATTACACTCAATGAAAAGCGCGCAGCCGGTGCGCCGATGCCCATGATGCCATGAAAACAATGAGCAATAAAAATCACTAGCCTACGCGTTGATCTTTAACATCAACTTGTTTCTTATACTTACTTTAGTATGTACATATTTACATCCGTTTGGTTTTCAATTTGAATTATAAATCAATTGGGATGTCTTTCGGCTGGTTGCGTAATGACTACTTTCATCGTAGTCTCCGAATGTAAATTAGTTTTTGTTTTATAGCAAAGGCCAACTATTTTGTTTATTTCTAGTGATGTCTTTTGTTTTTTTGCAATCAAAATAATTGTATCAGTGGTATTCCAGCGGAACTAACACTTGGTAATGTTAAAATCAAATTTAATTCTAACAGTTTAATGTGAAATTAGTTTGACCTCTTCTACTTCGCGACTGCAGTTTCCCAGTAAATGTGTGTTGCATGCCTTTTGTCCCGCCGCCGCCATTAAAGTTTATTGTTTATCCACCCGTTCACGTCGCTTCGCAAACCTGCATTCTCGTTGAAGTTATTAACACTCGAGTTGGCTGTTCGCTCAATTTCGCCCCGCTTCTGGTTAGCGTTTGCGCGCGCCTGTCCGGTTGTTCGCATGTAAATTTCAACTCTCTGGCTTCGCGCGCGCACAAAGTTGAGTCGCAAAGGCCTCGCAGACGCCGAGTTTAGAATTCTCGCGAGCCTGTATTTACATGTGTTCGACGTGCTCGTAACTAGCACGCCTTTACCGGTTATCGACCCCTTTTCGCGCCGCGGCCAGGGAAAACTTTGTTTCGTGTGCACCTTCTGAACGCCGTTTGTTTAATGTATGAATGCATGAATAAAGCCGCATTTACGCTCGCGCATACATAGCGAATGTAATTGTGTAGCATGAATGTGAATAGATAAGTGCGCGCAATAAGTAAGTTTTATCGAGAGTTGTGTCGCGACCGAAATGGTAGCGCATTTTTTTGTTTCTTTGCGTGAGCGAGCGGCTCGTAAATTACGCGCCGCGAGTGTTGTTGACTTCGACCTACTTTCAACAACGTCTCGCGGCGTAATCATCGCGTCTCGTGCCAAGTTGGATTCGAATTTCGAGCAGTACACAGCGCAATCGCTTACGTCTTGCATATGAATAATGCGCGCCTCATGAATAATTTAATTTTAATTCGCTTTGTATCAGTCGGATCTTCTGCGAATGGAGAAATTTATTCATAGAAGCCAAACGATTTTATGATTGCAATGATTTCCAAGATTACAACGATTTTTTTTATTACTTTTCAGGTGTAGGTGTAAGAGGAAGAAAACGGAAGTCAAGTGAAAACGAGGCTTCCACACCAGGACGACTGAGAAATACATCATATAATAAGGAAGACTTGGAAAATAAGCAGGCTAGGAATAAAAAGAACGGCGTTCACAATCGTGGCTCCAAGAAGAAGATCTTGGAGGAAGCAAACAACAGTAAGTTGCGAGAGGTGCAACGCGATCGAGTTGAGACCTGCCTGCAGAACGCTAGCGACGACCCGGCGCTCTCGGCTGTCTGCAGGCGATCATTCGAGGAGAGCGTCCCCGCCGAGGAGGCTGCTAGCAATAACAATAATAACAACAACGAGGAGGAGGTGGTAGATAAGGACAGTAAAGGTAGATCGCGCCAGGATTCCGGCTCGTCTTCTCTGGATGCGAACTGTGCGACACCTACAGAGTCCACTGACGACACGTCCAATACAGCCGTCGTCGTAGGTCCATCTTCGTCGTCATCTGCCTCTGCGGAGGAGTCGCTCGAGAAGGAGCTGGTGAAAAAGGTCAGTCACAGTCTGACCAGTTGGTTAACGATAGTGCGTTGGAGGATGACACGAGTAACGGCAGTAGCGTGCAATTAGTGCCCGCTGGCGATGAAGTCGTCGCCCTCGGCCCTGTGCAAGAGCCACCCGCAGCCGAGGTCGTGAGCGAGGAAGACGATTGCGTGATAGTGGCGCAGCGCACGCCACCGCCCGGCCACCACAGCCGACACCATCAACATCATCGCGCCCTGCTTCATCGGCGCTCACCTATCGGCCTGCAGCATTTGCCACATCACCACCATACCGTGGAGCGCGAGTGCTCGCACCGCGGCGACGATGACGGGCCGCTGTCTGCGTCCTCGCCGTTCAGCAGCAGGATGGAACTCACCGAATCCGTCGGCCATGCAGCGCTGCTCCGCTTTCCGGACGACCGGTCTGATTCGGGCGTGAGCTCGCTGAGGTCCGGCAGCGGCGATGAGCGGTCGGGCTCGCGCTCTAGCGCCCTAAGCTCGTCCGACGACCCACCGCCTCCAGCGCCCACCAGCGTTGCCCCTTCAGCCACTCGGTCGCCGCTCTTCTTGACAGCGAGCGCGTCCGGCGCTCAAGTAGCGCCCGCCGCCGCCAGCGGCAGCTCCGAGTCGGTGCGCGTGTGGCGCGACCCTAGCCTGTTGCTGGAGTCCGAGCCGCACGTCCGCCATATTCACAGTGTGCAGCACCAGTCGCTGCTCATGTCGCACCCGTCCGCGCCGGCCGCCTCGGGCCCGCCTCCCACGTCCGCAGCAGCAGCAGCCGCCGCCGCAGCCGCCGGCCATCACGCCGCTCTATACGCGCCCAGCCTCATGGCGACCCACCACGTGCATCCACATGCGCTCGCGCCGCCTGGCGCTTTATACCCACACATCCCCGATCCGCTTATTTGGACCAAGGTACAGCAGCGCTACCCCATGCCTATCTCTGCGCACTTGTTACCCCCGCAGGCGCAGCATGCTGAGGAGATGCTGGAGCGAGACCGCGTATACGCGCAGGATCGCGACCGCCACGAGCGGTTACTGCGCGAGAGACAGAATCAAGAAACGCGCGAATTAGAAAAGCGGGAGAAACAGCATGAACGATTAGTGGAACGTGAGAGGGAGCACCGTGATCGTGAAAAACTTGAACGCGACATCAACAAACATTTCGAGGAGTCGCTGAAACGCGCCCTACCGCAGAAAGTAAGCGCATTCATTCATTTTATACCTGTTTTTGTGACCACCTCGATTATACGTGGTTTTTTGTATTGTTGATGTTGCAGGCATCCGGGTGGAATTTCAACAGCATGCCACCACCTGCTCGCGGAAATGAAGAAGAGAGAAAGCGCGCTGAGCAGGAGCATCATCAAAGGGAGCAACAGCTGAGGCAGTTGTCAAATGCTTCCGCTCAGGCTGCGGCGAGAGCCGAGGTCAGGGAGAGGGAAAGAGTTTACTACCAACCTTCGGTGAGTAGTGGGAACCGCAAATCGATATTTACAACAAAAAACTTGGTTGTTCTTCAGTTGTTAATCTATATATTGCGCTTGATTACAGTCACAACGACCTCCCAATCATCCCAATAAAACGGATTACCCACCGCCTGCGCATAGCCGCGGTGTGCCCACTAGTAAAGCAGAGAAGATGTCTTCTGTGCATCCGGCGCATCCCAAGGGCGAAGTGAACATGTTCGGCTACCCAGCCTATCACCCGCATATCTTCTCGCACGAGCCCAAGGGTAAGGCGCCCGCCGATCACCACAAGTTGCAGAGCAGTGGCCTGATAGTGACTAAAAGTGGCAGTGAGCGCGATCGCGAACGAGACATGTTGCCTAACCCGCCGCCGCTCATGAGTGAACTCAAAAATTCTGTGATTGTGAAGCACGACGCGAAAAACCAACACCACATGGAGTCGTCGCGCGTATCGATAGCGCACAGCCCTAGTCCAAAGCAGCGCGGCGACCACATGGGTCACTACCTGACGTCGCCTCAGGGCGCGCACAAGGGCGCGATGTATGAGTACCGGAGCCCCACGCAATCTCCGCATCATTTGCCGCACGCTCCGAGTCCCCATCACCTGCAACCGGAAAATCTCGGCAAACCACCTTCGCATCATCGATCACCGGGCGGGCAGCTTCCCAGTCCGCACCATCAGAGGCAGTCGCCGCACCAGCACCCTCATGCTCAACCGCACGCTTCGCCCGAGATGCGCTACCGCGGAGGCGACCACCCTACCATGATCTACGCGGCCAATGCCAAAACTAGCTTACCATCGAGTTATCCCTACATGGTGCCCACGACGTCGGTGAATGCTAAGCCGAAAGTCAGCAGTCCGGCGCCGCACCACATGTACGGTAAACCCAGCATTAATCCATCGATGCCGACGTCCCGACCTCATGATATACCTGCTGGTGGTAATCCGCTCCCGCTCACGTCGAAATCGCATCTTTCGGCGACCATATCTCCATCGCCCTATCAACAGGTGTCGCAGTACCATCCGCCACATCCGGGTGCGTCACCTACGGGTGGGCAACAATTACCCCCACCCGCGCACAGCAGTAGTGCCCATTCGCGCGAACGTGTAAATCATGCCACTTTCGACCGGATGTTTACCGGCGGCGCGGTTCCTGGTGGTCTGTCGGTCAAGCCTAGTATGCAACATGGTACGTCACCACCTACGGCGACTTCGGCGCCATCCCCTGTTGCGCGTATGCATTCGCAGTACATGCAGGGTGTCACTCACCCATCGCAGAATATTCCTTCGGGTCATTCCGTGCAGACGCAACCCCTAGATCTTGGTGTATCCTCCAACAAGTATGATAGCTCGTCGTCGCCCAAACGGAAAGCTACAAGTGTTGGTAATAATGTGCCGGTGTGTTTGGAAGTGAAAAAACGGCGGGTAGAGTCAACAACGCCAACCCCTCCACATCAACAACACTTACCACCGCACTCGCAGTCGCCATCTCATAGTCAAATATCACACTCGCATCATTTAGCGCCCCACCAGCCAGCGCACCAAATTCCTCATCAGAATCTCCCACTATATGTCGGGCAACAACAGCCACAGGCTACCCCACAGTTGTCACGTGTGAGCGAACCCAGTCCGCTCGTTGCTAGCGTAGCGACAACAATAACGACTGTGGTGAATACGGCTGCTTATCGAGGGTCCTCTATACCTACGTCACAAAGCCATGCTGTTCTCACCGAGGCTCTACCTGATGTGAGCGTAACTCCCCTAACGTTAACGAATGTGAGCGTTGTAACTAGTAATAACACAAATAACGACCGCCCGCCTAGCCTCGAAAGTTCTTCGTCGGTTGTTTCGAACGCCAGCAACGCGGTGTCTACGTCTAGTGCAATAAATATACCAACTACAGCGACTACGACCACGAGTGTTGTGACAACAGTGGTGGAGCCTAATACGCCGGTAAAATCAACAACACCATCGAACGCCGATTCTGAAAAGTCGAACAGTCCGGTCCCCACGGCTAAGTCGTCGGGCACGTACCCTGTGAGGCATTTGAAGAAGGCCTGGCTGCAGCGGCACACTGGTGAAGACGTAGAGGATACTACCGGTATGGTTGGCAGTGGTAGTTGTGTTTCCTTACCGCTTAATCTGAACAACACACCAGCAAAAGAAACGGCACCAGTTACGTCACTGCATAACATTGGCAGTATGGCGGTTAACAGCATCAACAAGCCTAAGTCATTTCAGGCCAAAGCGAACAATCGCAAGACGCACAAAGAATCTACCACGGCGCTAAATGGACATCCGCTCGATACTGGTAAAAACGATGATTCGTCTAGTTCAGACCAAGAGCGAGGTCGCAAGTCACCACCGAAACGCAAACCTCCTAAGGTGAAGCGCAAAAAGGTGGTGGGGCCCCTAAGAAAGGCAGCGAAGAGAAGAAACAGCGCAAGGTGAGTGGCGGCAGCAACCAGCTGGCGAGCGAGAGCGGAAGTGATAGCGACAAGGAATCACTCAGCGATAAGGATTCTGATTCAGGCGCTAGCACCACCGTCTCCACCGGCAAGAAGACCGCTGGCGGCGGCACCACAACTACGGGCAGCGCTGGCGCAGGCGCCGCCAAAGACAAAGAGCCGAGAAAGCGGGGTCGCCGTCCGAAGACAAAAAACGATAAAGGCGAGGAGCCGCGTGCTAAGAAGTCCAAGGACGACTTGGCGCCCCAGCGCGACCCCTTTCGCAAACCCCCAGTGGGGCAGTTAAGAAAGACAGGTGAGAGTTTTTTACAAGACGGCCCGTGCTTTGAGGTGGCGCCCAAGTTGGCCAAGTGTAGAGAGTGCAGATGGACGCCCAACCAAAGATCGAAGAACATGCCTAACATCTTTTGCAGATTCTACGCGTTCAGAAAGCTAAGGTACACTAAGAACGGACAGCTTGCAATTGCTGGTTTTTCCGATCCGCACAAAGATGCCACTGAGGTAATTACATGTTACTGTTTTCTTTAGTCTTGCTTCTTTCAAACCGGTCTTTCCAAACAGACTCGAGGCACTTTTGGTACTTCCAGCCCTGTTTAGGCTTAGTCTTGCTCGTTTTTCACTAATTTCTTCATGTTTTTCGATTAAAGGAAGATTTAAAACTGTGGCTTCCATCACCAGACACTCCACCATCCGACCTAGACTTAGACACGTCCAGATTTCTCCTGAAGCAAGTTGGCGATCACTTTTGCAATCTTCTGCTCCAGGAAAAAGACGCGCAGTTCGAACACATGTCGGATGGTAAGCCAAATATCATAAAAATGTGTTTCGTTCTTCTGTTAAACCAAAAATCTTCAATTTGTGTTTGCAGATAAGACCATAGCGTGGAAGAGAGTCGTCCAAGGCGTGCGTGAAATGTGCGACGTATGCGAAACGACGCTTTTCAACTTCCATTGGGCGTGCGGAAAATGCGGCTTTGTTGTCTGCTTGGATTGCTACAAGGGTCGAAAGGCTGGTACGGTGAAAATCTGGGGAGAACCAGGTAAAGATCGCGACGATTTCTCCTGGCTGCTCTGCACCAACCGACAGGCACACGAGCACGAGAAACTGATGCTCACACAAATCATTGCGGGCGATTGTCTGCTGAAGCTGGGCCGTCTAGTGCACGAAATGCGTGAACTGTGGAATGTTGAGCAGTATTGCGGGTGTCCGATTAGTAAGGAAACTGGGCAGAAGTCCAATGGTCAACGCAAGGATCTTATAAAGAGCATCTTATCGGCAGAGCTGAATGGTGTCGTTGTAAAGAAGGAGGCTGAAGAGGAGAAAGACATCAAACCAGTTGTCAATGGTGGAAGTATAAAGGATGAGAAAAGTGGATTAAACTGGTTTGCGGACGTGGCTTTGGCGAACAACGATGAGAAGAAGAGCGATGATAGCAGTGACGACGACAGTAGTTTTTCCACACTCAGAGAGTTGTTGATTAGACCATCGCATAAACCAAATGGCAGCCGAGCGGGAAGTCCTGTACCAAATGCCGCGCCGAAGAAGAAAAGTACTGTTAGATTGGACACACTGGACGAGGTGATTTCCAGCGTTATTGAAGACAGCGTGCCGAAACTTGAGAATACAGGCGATCATAAGGAATTAAAACATTTCGTTCCTCGGGAAAACGCCCTGGCAAAAACGCGGGGTATGTTGCCGATTCGCATCATGACGCTCACAGAGAGCAAACTTTTGTATCCCGAGGTTCCGCATTCTTGGCTGTGTGATGGAAAGTTGCTCAGATTAAGCGATACTACCCACTCTGGCAACTTCAAAATCTTCCAGGTATTAATCAACTAACTTAAATGAATTACTTTTTACTAATTTTATTCCTATTTCTGAAGGATCAATGGAAACGTGGCCAACCTGTTTTGGTAAGCGATGTTAGCAAGCACCTCTCGAAAGATCTGTGGACTCCCGACGCCTTTTCGAGGGATTTCGGTGACGAGAAGAACGACCTTGTCAACTGCATGAATGGTTCCACTCTTGTCAATCAACCGATGAGAAAGTTCTGGGAAGGTTTTGAACATTTCACCAAGCGGTTGAAGGACGACAAGGGCAACCCCATGCTGCTCAAGTTGAAGGATTGGCCACCCGGTGAGGACTTCGCCGAGTTGTTACCTTCGCGCTTCAACGATCTTATGCGCGTGCTGCCGTTATCGGAATACACTCATCGTAACGGCAAACTCAACCTAGCTAGTCGTCTGCCCGAGTGCTTCGTCCGACCTGACCTGGGGCCAAAGATGTACATCGCCTATGGCTCTGCACTCCACCCGTCCAAAGGCACTACCAATCTTCATCTGGATATTTCTGATGCTGTGAACGTGATGGTTCACGTCGGTATACCGAAGGACAGCGACACCGATGAGCACATCAAGGAGGCGTTCCGCGCCATCGACGAGGCCGGCTGCGACATTCTTACCAGACGCCGCGTTCGCGACAAAGGAGAACTTCCGGGTGCTCTCTGGCATATTTACAACGCGCGCGACGCGGATAAAATACGTGACCTGCTCAATAAGGTGGTCGTCGAGAAAGGCGGTTTGTTGAAACCTAATCATGATCCCATCCACGACCAGAGTTGTTATCTGGACGGTCCGCTGCGGGAACGCCTCTATAAGGAATACGGTGTTGAGGGGTACGCCATCGTGCAGTGCCTGGGCGATGCAGTGTTTATTCCCGCCGGCGCTCCTCATCAGGTGCGCAACCTGCACAATTGCATCAAGGTGGCCGAAGATTTCGTCTCGCCAGAGAATGTCTCACACTGCTTCCACCTCACCCAGGAGTTCCGTGATCTTTCCGATACGCACTCGAACCATGAGGACAAACTGCAGATCAAGAACATCATCTTTCATGCCATCAAGGACTCGCTGTCCGGTCTCACGTCGATCGTTAACAAGCACGTCAAGAGCGAGAAGGACGCTTCGCCGGAACGCAACGGTAACAACGGCACCGGCGACGCGCCGCACAACGCGACAACGGACTCCAACGTGGAGCCGGCTTAAACTTGTGATAATAGTAGAACGCTTACGGATAGTTAGAAATGACTACTAGTACTGCAAGAACGTTTAACGACTGTTGAGTACTAAAGTGATAAGTGGCGAAGAAACGATTGTCGAAAAGTGTAATATTTTAAGGGGGACAATTTAAAATTAATGTGTGTACGCACGAGATGATGTTTTTGTTTTCGTTTTGTTTTTTATTACAATGATAATATTCGGTGTGTACATATTTTGTACATTTATTATTGACTTGAATGAAATGCTGAATATGCACGGTTTATCTTCCTGTTAGTAGTGACTCGTGATTCGATACCGATCACCAGTTGTAATTAGTCTACTCTCTAAACAAAAATGAAAAAATGATAAGAAACTCGAAAATACGATAAAAGAAAATACTGTTGTTGAAACTACGAGTACTTCTATGTGGGATGCTCTTCGTCGATTTGCGCGAAGGCCTGCGAGTTATTCATAACTATATCAATGTTGTTTCTCATAAAGAAAAAATAACATATAAATAAGCAGCGGTAGGGCAGCTACGTTTTGCAAAACATTTTTTCGAAAAGAAAAGATTATCTAATTAATTAATTCTTAAAAAGACGGAAAGTGTCGATTTTGAAAAAATCGCTGAACTGAAAATATTCAAAATTATATTTAATTTTTGTTTTGTTACATACTACGCTTAGGAGTTAATATTCTTTTTGTAAAGAGAAAAAGAACGACAAATTTTTGTTACTATTATACTTGGTAGTTGACATGCGATTGATTGCAAGACGTGTACAACTAAGACACACAGAAACACGTTTAATTAAGCAAAGATGGATGGAATTAAAGAGATAAGAAGTAAACGCGTTGCTTTTATTTTCTCACCTTGATTTGAATTCGTTTTCACTGTTTGCAAGGTAGCTGGTCTACTGGTAATATCCACATACATGATGGTTATTTTTGTCACTTTGTATAACTGTGCCTGTTACGATGTAATGAAACAAATACGACAAATGTTAAATTGCAATTCAGTATTTACACTATTTGTTGGGTGGGTTACTCTATGGAAAAAAAACTAACTTTAAATCTAACTGATAACACACGAAAAAGAAAAACTGAAAAAGTGCTATTTCGTATAAAAAAGTGCCAATTAAGATTATTTTTAGTGATCGCTCGATCTTTTGATGATCTCGACTAATTATATTATTACTAACAACGATTTTATGAAACTTTAAATTTACACTTGATACAAAATCATGCTAGGAGACTTCGATGAGAGCGTTTAGGTTTATCACCAATATTATACATACGCAGCACATAAGTTTATTAGTTTTTTAACGGCTCGCGTGACGGCGACGATAATTGTTTATTTTAAGTAGGAGAAGGAACTTACTCTTCGTTTTTAAAGTGATGACTGTACAGTAGACATAGGATTTTTTGTACAGAACTATCTTAAAGTACCTTCAATGTTTGTTTCCCTTATTGTTCTTTCTTTGGTCCAAAAGATGTATAAATAATAAATGAAGCAAGGAACAAATACATGAAATATAAATACATTTAAACTGTGTTATGTTTATCCCAGTTAAGTACGATAGTTCAGAATTTAATCGGAATTAAAAGTTACATGCATACTACGAGTACAATTCTTTCTATGTTCTGCATTGTCACACAGGTAGTATCAGTGTTTACAAACAAGTTTTTTTATCTCGTGCAATTTTTGTGCGGTCGTCACGAGGTTGCCTTGCGTACCACGTTAGTCTCAGTTGTGTCGTCAGGTGATCTGCACGCACGTTTTCTTCACAATAATTGGAGATTGTGCGCGAGTGATGTGCGGCGTTCGTTATACGCGGATTGTACGAGTACATACGCAGAGGTAAAGCGACAGTGATGTTCCTTCGACCGTCGGATAGGTCGAATAAATAAAACTTCAACGACATTTAAACGTGCTTTATAAAGTGTAAAGTGTGCTTTAGACACCACGAATGCGTTAACTAAGCCTTGGCATGTTGACACAATTAAACCTAACATATAGTACACGAAGTATAGTACATCAAACATAAAGGTAAAACATTTGTTTTTATTGAATTAATGTAATAACTTATAGAATTATTTATTTCATGTTTCGAGTGTGCAGTGTTATAAATTTATCACTGTTGCACTGTAATAGAAATAAGCAATATTTTACTGATTTACACATATGTATATAATGCGTGAAATAACCTTCACAAAAATGTTTGTGTTAAGTGAGCCTTAGAAGTTGTACATAAAAAATACGGTACATAAAGTTACTGAAGATGCCCTCGTGACGAAACATGTATAATTACAGATTTAGATTCATTTATTTTGAATAAGTATATCCTATTGACTTCTATATTAGAAGTTTTGAGTTATGTGTAAAAATTGCTATTTGTTTAGATAGGGTGGTGCACGTGCACTCTCGTGTACGTGTGATACACGGACACGGCCACTTACGTGCGTGACCACTCACTGATACATACGCAATCGCTCACTGCCTCATATGTACGCCACACTTTTTGAAACGCTTTGTGTATGCTGGAGGTACAATAAAGTATTCTCAGGTAGCGCAACGATCCATGTTTTAACTAAAAATATTCTTGCCAGTGAAAGTCGACGTGCACAGTTGTGATGCCGGCACGCAGCTCTTACTTCGTGCGGCAGGTAAGATTACTCCGTCGAGTATTCGTGTTTCTCGTTGCCAATTCGGTACCTATATCGCGTTGTATTTTATTGAGTTTAGTGTTAATTGCTGTGTTTGGCCATTCGGTAAATGTTTATCGCATGTGTAATCTTCGGAATTCAATATTTTGTGTGTTTATTACATTTTCGCGTGGATCTCTGATCGGTTGCCGTCGGACGCCGGCCGTCAGACTTTGTGTGTGATTATAAATGATATTTTGGACTTGTGCGCATCATTTGTGACTTCTGCACAACTCGTTGGCTCAATGTGTTACCTGGTACGAATACTAATTTAAATAATTATGGAGAACAAGATGAAATTTATGGTAAACTTTGGGTTCCGCCGGAACTCATTGTCCGAAATTGTGTACTAATGTTTTGTTTCTTCTTTAAGTTAAATTCTCTAAGTAAAATTTTTATCATTCATAGTATCTGTTTTCCTGATTTCTTACAATTCGAAAATTGATATCCTTTGCGGAAATCTTTGCTTCAATAAAACTCAAATCATAAATAATAATTTCTTGATTTAAATTTTAGTTCACTAGAATGAACTAAGATTCATAAAATAGAATGGTTTGCGTTTCGAATCATATCAGCGTTTGTGTATAAACCACTTTCTTATCGCATTCGCCGTGCGAGATGCTACGCGTAAGATTCTCGTCGCGCTGTGACGTGCAGCACATTTTAGTTTAGTTCTTATCACAGGTACCGTGTCTATTGTAATTCGTGTACAAGGTCGCGTGCAATCGACGCGCCGCCGTCTTTGCGCATCTATTGCAATTCGCGAACAAGGTCGCGTGGCATCGACGCGCTGGCTTTGCGCATCTATTGCTTTTACTTGCCGGGATTATGCAGCAGACACAGAGTGAACTGTCGCATCCTTGCGTGCGTAGTTTCGGCAATATTGTTGGATTGCAGCTAGTTTCGTGCCGGTCTCTGGCTTATCCTGAAGTATATCGCGCAACGCGTTTCGTTTTATCAGACTTAATATGCATCTGTAGTGTTTTATTAATAAGTAATTGTGCGTTTAATGTTCATTAATGATTTTTTTGTTTGCTTTTGATGTTTATATTTCAAATTAAATATTTCGGTTATTGTGGGATGTGGTCGGTCGCTAGATCAATCGGATGTGCTTGAGTAAGTAACTTTTATCTGACCATTGCGATACTCAGCACAGAAAGTTGGTTTTCTATTGTATGAAATGTTTTTGTGTTAACTTATGTTTTGTTTTAATTACAGTACTTGCCGTACCCTTGCAATCCGATGAGCGCTGCATTGGTAAGGTTTATAATTCAGTTGAATTATATATAATTATAATCCGGTTAAACGTAAGGGGTGACGGTAGAAGTGACTCGTGTTCAGGACACCGTAGGGGTGATAGTAGAAGTGACTCGTGTTCAGGGCACCGTAGGGGTGACGGTAGAAGTGACTCGTGTTCAGGGCACCGTAGGGGGTTACGGTAGAAGTGACTCGTGTTCAGGGCACCGTTCGAAGGTAGCGGTAGTGAGTCGTATTCATAAAATATAAAATATAAGGGGCCGTACCGCTTCTTGTATTTTTTTGTTATGAATTTTTTCACTCTTATTTTTCCGATTCTAATACTTCAGATTTTAATACTTTATTTTATAGAGAATATTTAAATTAGTCGCGATGTTGTGAACATCAATTATTAAATTAACTAAAGTATACAGTTAACTTATACGAAGACAATTAGAAAACAATAAATTATTTATTTGTATTGGTAAATTACAAATTCTTGTTGCATCTGTTGCAAATTCTTGCATCCCAAACGAGAAAGAGTAAAAGTAGATTTTGTGTATGTGTGTTATTTCAATATTGTGAATTTTTACTTTCGTCTTTACCACTACGTTTGTTTATAAACAACTTTTTTGTTCAACTGACGTGTATTATCGCGACGTACCTGCTTTGTACCTGGCAACGCGCAGCGCACACGGCAGTCGTTTCACCGCGTGGTCCGCGGGCGCGTCTCACTACTAGCCTCGCGGTTTCTGACTTTAATTATTCAATTAATCGTTAATGTATTCTCGTCATCAGCAAAATATTCGTAACGAGCATGAGTGGTTGTTTTGATAAGTTGTGGCGGTATGAGTGTTCTTAAGTAAGAAATAAGTGTCTGTTAATTTTTGCACGACTTTTCAGATGATAAAATATATTCCTGGATCTAAAATTTCTTCATCATTGCACTGGTAGGTGTGTAATTAATTTTTTTCTCGCGGAAAGTTAAGACGGTTTATATTAAATTGATTATTCCATTTGAGGGATATTAATTTTGCAAATTACAAACACGTGGTAGCATTTTTGTGCCGTTGCGCTAGGAATTGTAGTTTTTTTATTATTGCATGAGAACGCGGTCTTACAGTAAATTCGGAGTAATTTTCCCAGATGCAGAATTTAATTTTGTATGTCCCTGTATTGAACTTTATGGCGAGAAAATTCCGTAACGCGAATTATATTGAAAGTTGTGTGTGTGCGTCGTAATACTCGTTGCGCTAGGAATTGTAGTTTTTTAGTATTGCACGCGAACCCAGTCCCTCATTAAGTTCGGAATAACTTTCCCAGATGCAGAATTTAATCCTGTATTTGTTTGTATTGAACTTTATTGCGAGAAAATTCTGTAACGCGAGTTATATTGAAAGTTGTTTGTGTGCGTCGTAATACTCGTTGCGTTAGGAATTGTAGTTTTTTTAGTATTGCACGCGAACCCGGTCTCTCATTAAGTTCGGATTAATTTTCCCAGATGCAAAATTTAATCCTGTATTTGCTTGTATTGAACTTTATTGCGAGAAAATTCCGTAACGCGAGTTATATTGAAGGTTGTGTGTGTGCGTCGTAATACTCGTTGCGCTAGGAATTGTAGTTTTTTTAGTATTGCACGCGAACCCGGACTCTCATTAAGTTCGGAATAATTTTCCCAGATGCAGAATTTAATTCTATATCACTCTGTATTGAACGTTATTGCGTAAAAATTCCGTAACGCGAGTTATATTGAAAGTTGTGTGTGTACGCCGTGTTACAGTAAGTTTGGAAAATGCAATTAATTGCCATTGTATAGTTGAGTCTCATTCGGTTTACCGTGGCAGGGTGTCGATAGAAGTGACTCGTGTTTAGGACACCCTACGAAGGTAGCGGTAGAAGTGACTCGCGTTCAGGGCACCGTAGGGGGGTGAGCATAGAAGTGACTCGCATTCAGGGCACGCTACGAAGGTAGCGGTAGAAGTGACTCGCGTTCAGGGCACCGTAGGGGAGTGACGATAGAAGTGACTCGCGTTCAGGGCACCCTACGATGGTAGCGTTAGAAGTGACTTGTGTTCAGGCCACCGTTTGAAGGTAGCAGTAGTGAGTCGTATTCATAAAATATAAAATATAAGGGGCCGTATTGCCTCTGGTATTTTTTTGTTATGAATTTTTTTTCACTCTATTTTTCTGACTCTAATACTTTAGATTTTAATACTTTTTTTTATAGAGAATATTTAAATTAGTCGTGATGTTGTGAACATCAATTATTTAACTTACTAAAGTATACAGTTAACTTATACGAAGACAATCAGAAAACAATAAATTATTTGTTTGTATTGGTAAATTACAAATTCTAGTTGCATCTGTTACTAATTCTTGCATCCCAAAACCAATATATTCTTTTCTTATGCCGAGAAATAGTAAAAGTAGATTTTGTGTATGTGTGTTATATCAATATTGTGAATTTTAACTTTCGTCTACCACTACGTTTGTTTATAAACAACTTTTTTTGTTCAACTGACGTGTATTATCGCGACGTACCTGCTTTGTATAATTATTCAATTAATCGTCGTGTATTCTTTTCGTCAACAGCAAAATATTCGTAAAGAGCATGTGTAGCTGTTTTGATGAGTTGTGGCGGTTAGAGTGTGCTTAAGTAAGAAATAAGTGTCTGTTAATTTTTGCACGAGTTTTCAGTGGATAAGATAAGATATGGATCTAAAACCTCTTCATCTATGCACTGGTAGGTGTATATAATTAATTTTTTTCGCGGATAGTTATGACGGTTTATATGAAATTTATTATTCCATTTGAGGCATATTAATGTTGCAAATTACAAACACGTGGTAGCATTTTTTATCTGAATTCATTGCCCTGTTTCCGAAAATAATATGCATGATTTAATTATTACAAGCATTGTTTTAAAAAGTACTCGTATCTGAGGATTATTAAAATGACGATATTCATGTGGCCGACCGCGCTCACTTTGCCGTCGGCCGTCGGCTCGTTCCTCTTTTCGCTGAAGGTTTTTAATCGAATTACACTCCTTTGCATCATTAACTTAAAAAGTTTCTTGTTGATTTAATAAAATCTTATACCGGTTTTTGCTATCATAGTCTCCATATATCTTAATATTTACAAGTAACTAGTTATTTATATCGTATTTACTTACTGTATTACCACGCGCCGTCGCTTGCCGTCTGTCGATTTGGATGTTTTATCAATTTATGATGCTGCTTCACCCGTCGGTTACCTTATGCAGTTGACGCTATCATCAAATGATAAATATACACAAAATATATTAAAATGTAAGTGTTTTATTCTTGTAGCACTCAACTTTTCCGATGATTTTCGGGTAAAATCTTTGAATTTATGTTAAAATATAGTTGTTTCCGTATAAATTTCTTTCGTCATGATGTGAATAGTAACCATATTTGTAGTTTTTTAAATTTTCCTTTGGCAACACCCTGTATATTAGTTTTTCTAACAGTATGTAGTAAATCACCCTTCTTGTGAGTTTTGAGTGTTCCTTGTTTTAAACTTGGGATTTTTCTTTTGTAACACCCTGTATATTAGTTTTCCCAACAGTATGTAGAAAATCACCTTTATTTGTGAGTTTTGAGTGTTCTTTGTTTTAAACTTGGGATTTTCTTTCTGGAACACCCTGTATATTTACTTTTCTTTGTGTCTGTGAAAATTTTCCTTCAGCTGTGGTTTTAGGGCTTTCATTTTGCACTCTATTTTTTTGTGAAAACGTGCAATATTTGTAGTGTTTAGATGTTTTCCTTTTTGATGGTTGAATTTTCTCTTTGTGACACCTTGTATAATCGTTTTCCTTTACATTCCTGAAAATTTTGTTTGACTGTTATTAGAATTTAACTTCTTGCACTTTGAATTTTCTTTTTGTAACACTCTGTATATTTGTTTCCATTTTCCACCACCTAGAAAATGGGCAATTTGCTAATTTCATTAACCCGGTAGAACATGTTGACGTGTTACTTGCTTATATGTGCGCAACGATGCAGGTCGTAAGTTCTGTGTCAATATGGCGGCATGTTTTTGTTGACTTGTAAAATCAAAACTTGTATTCTATTGTTAATAAATAAATAGTAAGATATATTGACTTCTTTGATTTGTGTGTTCGCCTTCTATCATTTCAGGAACAGGTCTCTAAGAGAGTTCCCTCTCTCAGGGGATGATCCCCTCTATAAAAATTGTTAAGGTAACCTGTATGATTTGTGTACTCCTTCTTTCATTTCAGCTACAGGTCAGAACTTGTAAGAATATTTTTAAGTGTCGCCTCTCTTGAGACGACTTAAAACTTAGAAATATTTGAACAAGACCTTATAAGGATTGTCCTTATAAGGAGGAGTTCCCTCTCTCTGGGGGTGATCCCCCACCATAAAAATTGTTGATATGCCTGATAATTTCGGGGATGAAGCGCAGAGACATCGTAGCTGTAGGTTGGGCCGGGAGCAATGGACGGATCGAAGCAGTGGGCGATCGACCAGAGCGCCGGAGGCGCTCTGGGAGATCGACCGTAGACTGTCTTATAACGACACGTGCCAAAAAATTTAAAAATCTGATCCTCCCCTGTTCTCTTTCTTCTATCTCCTCCTCTTCTCTACTCTACTCTCTGTTCTCTTCCTTCTATCTTCTCCCATTCTCTCTACTACTCCTTCCTTCTTCTTCCATTTTTCCACTTGCTTTCTTATTTATTCTCATATTGCCTTCACTTGTATTTCAATTTCTCTTATATTTCGTTGCAATTCATATATGCAACCCACATTACACCTGATATTTTTATATTTGAGAAAAATGCCTTCTACACCTGAGATTCGATCCGTGTCTGCTAGCATGCCAGCAGGTGCACGTCTCCACTCGACCACCGAGTGTTTTTATTGTTGTTATTTGATTCTTCTATTTATGTTTCTACTTTTATCATGTTTTTAAAAACAACAACACAATTCAAGTAACAGCTATATATTGTACACGCTCGATGCACTTAAGATTTATATGGAATATGATTTAAGACATCAGTCCTGCAAACGGCAAAGGGGAAACCAGAAAGAAATATGAAGAAGTATATAATATTACATTATGTTTTATTAGCAACATTAAAAACTACATACATTTATTTAAAATCGAAAATCATAAGCAACTCTTAAATCTCCTGAAAGTAAAACTTGCCTTGTAATACGCGCATCTCTAACATTTCTGCGATGGAAACTGCTCATAAACTTCTTCAACAGGCATCAACGTTGTTTATTTATACTAATTAAAGCACACAACACAAGGTGCAAGCAAACATTAAAACACAAACAACTGCAATACAATACAAAACATTTACGTATAAAACGAATTCTATGTGGACTGTACCACAAACATGTATGTACACATTAATACATAAGACAATACAGCAAAGTCTTACACACATACACAATAAAAGGAATTTTCAAGTTCTACATACCCAATTACATAACACAAACAGCAATCAAGGAAATGTGCACATTGCAAGAACAATAAAGTACGCGTATAATACAATCCAACGGCCGACGGAACATCACGCTACTTCTGCGAATGAACAATCCGCATTTTACGAACGTCGAACATCACTCGCGCACAATCGAAGGAGAAATATTATATAACACGTTAAAAAATTAAGGGACTCAAATTATTCTGAAGGAAATGCGCATGCAATTCACCTGACGACAAATATAAGACTGATGTGGAACGCAAGGCAACCGCGTGGCGACCGCACAAAAATTTGCACGAGATAAAAAACTTGTTTGTAAACACTTTCAGTGTGGTAGTGCAGAACATGCATGGAACTATTAATTTCGATTAAATTCTAAATCAGAAACTAGATAGATATTTTTATAAAACTGCTCATTTTGGAAGCGCATTTTGGGGTACTTTCAAAGGGTTTATAGGGTTGAAATAAAATGCGTCTTAAAGGACGTCTATTGACCTCTAACATGGCATAGAGAAACTTGGAGAAACTATATTAGTAGAGGAGATTCAGGGTGTTTTTTATTACAAATTTTAGTTTTTATTGTGTGCAATATAGCTAATATATACACATGATAGATTTTATACATCCAAACACAATCGCCATAATTATTATACCTACAACGCAAATTGATAAAATATGATAACTTTAACACACCTATATAACTTGATAAAACAATCCTTGAACAACTTATTAATTCATAATTTATAATTTTGGTAACAATGGTATAAATACATTCATATGCACGTTATTTTGATTGTTTTGACACAAATTACATTTGTTATTTCTATTGTTGTTAAACATAAAAACAAATGCGTTTCCGTAACCAAACTAACATCGTCGTCAAATACTCGTACACCTGGCTACAAGTACAGCGTCTACGTACAAGTACAAGAAGTAAGAAATACCTTGTTAGTCATTTGCAGTTGACGTATATACGTATAACTCACAATTGTTTCTTAAACTGTTTTTTTTATACGTTAGAAGTGTTTAAAACAGTCTTTGTTTAAATGGATTTGTCTCCAATAGGTGGTACATTTATGTTATTGATTTACATTTAATGTAATTATTTAGAAATATTAGGTATACGTCTCCTTAAGGTATCATTTTGTGTCGATTCGAAAAGAATAAAATATGTATAGAATTTCGGTTAAAACAATGCGTTGCGCTGTAGATTGTGCACCGTTATGTACACAAAATGTTGGGCGATGCCATACTTTCGCAGTGTTTATATTAAGTCAACTTTCCTTGTTTGCGGACGTTTCTCGCATTAGCTGCGTTCGGTTACCCTTCGCTCCATTGTGTAACATTCATCAATCATGATTTATTGGACCTATCGGTGGCGGTTGCAGCTGGTTGCGGCGTCTCGACTCGTGCTCACGTAATTGCCAACCATCGAAAAGGATCGCGCCTCGGGAAAGCGACCCGCCAGCCTCTTTCTTTGCCGTATTTTTGGCAGCAGTCGAGGTACAAACTCCATTTACGAACGCGCAAACCCTGAGACTTCAAATTGAGTTTCTTCGGGTTTATTGGCGTTGCTTGGCGTGGCTTTTTCGAAGTTTCGTTCAGTGTGATTTCCATCGCGAGTTAATGCGAAAGATTCGAATTCCCTCCTCGCCACCAGCAGATACGAATGAAGAATCAAGAAGGAGGAACAGGAGTCCCGGACGCATGTGAGTAATGTGATTGCGTTTCTGCATTTCTGCATTGCTGCATGCGAGAGCAAATGGCAGGAAACTCGATACCATAACGCGATTTACTTTCGCTTCACCTTTCTGTACTCCGTACTCGAAATTCTAGAAAATGACTCACGTTGAATATACACTTCAAAAAAGATTTAATGCTGATCTTCTGTTAAACTTGTAGTTTCAACTTTCAGCCGAGCGTCATTGGTCCATTTCCCAAATTGAAGGATTTTCGAATCAAAGTTGGGACGTATTCCCGCACTTTACTTTAATTGGAATGTTTGTTTATACAATCAGTACTTTAATAATTGTTACGCTGATAAAAATGAAAAATATTGCTCCAGCCAGTTTTCACTTCTCATTTTCCATTGCCAATTCTTTCTTGTCATTTGTTTAATTTATTTACATTCTTACGCATACGAGTATGTCGACTATAGAAAGACTCAAGAAAGACGTTTCATTCTGACTGATTTTTGACTAGAAAATTTTATAATTGCCGCTAATTTTTCTCGATAACGTTCTATCGGGAGTAAATTTATGTGAAAAATCTAAGTAATAACGTCAACGCGCAAACCATCGAGCCCAGCGCACCTAAAAAATAAAATAAAACATTATGAGCACATTCTGGTAATTAGAATTTTTATATAGCATGCTCAGTAAATTCAGTTATATGCAGTAGTATATAACGAGATTATTCTTGTTGCCAGATTGCCCGCCTGCTGGCGTAGCAACATTTTTGGTGGTTAATGTTCGTTCGCTTTTAATTTCGTTTTATCCTCAAAACTTATTCATCTCACAGGTGTGTCTAATGTTACAAAGTACATAGTTTTTTTAAAACATTACAGCGCGTGGCAGGTTGCAATCTGGTGCATAAACTGCAAAGTTGTATCTTACAATGATTTGTACCTTTTAATTTCGCAGCAGCAACAGGCGAGTCCGCTTTAGCTGTGTACGTTTCCACTTCGTTCAAGAATTGATAAGTTGCATTGAAGCCAGTGCCGTCTAGGCGATCGTTGGATCTGAACGTGACACGGAAAAATTTCCGATCCGATTCGATGTCGAACTCCTTTAATTGGCCACAGTAGCGCGGATATTTGCGATCGCGCGCCACGAAATTGGAGAATTCGACGTAGTCACTCGCTGAATTCGCTTCGCATCTACATGGAGAAGTAAAGCAGAAGAAGACGATGAGTGGCATGAAGTAATCACGTCGACGACGTGCACCATTCACAATTCATAAATGAGGTAGGGAGTTTTCATTTGAACATGATGGCCGTAGGATACGGACAGATTGAAATTTTTAAAAATTGAAGAAATTGGAAATCACATCCGCGAAACCAAAAGACGAAATCAAACGTTTTGAGAAAATCAAATCAACGGCGAAAAAATGTAAAAAGTTTTCGTACAGTTTTGCATTGAGCGTACCCGTAGCTCGATTTGTTTCAATATTGGCTGAATGGAGTATTAAGTTCGAGTATACTTCGAAAAGTTTGAATTTGAGTTTCAAGAATTGATATTTCAAGACGGGTGAAATAAAAGATGAAAGCGAAGAAAGACACGATTGTGCAAAAAGTTCGATACTCACGGTAAGACCCCCTCGACGTCGAAATAATTATAGTGCAAGTGTACTTTTTCGCCGACGTTGCCATGGAAAAAGTAATAGCATTCCGTATCGCGAGGATAGAAGCCCGGGTAGTTGGGGCTGTGAAAGTAGCCCGTTCGGCTTACGTTGCTATTGAACACGAAGGCACATGGGTATGACGGTTCTTGCATGCCTGTTCGGATTCCAAAGTCTAAAACATTAAACAAAAATATCAAGATAACGACGTAACACATTGTGCGCAAATTCGATAGCTTACTCTCAGTGAAACTGTACGACGCCTTGAAACCTCTCGAGTATCTTGACGCCAACAAGCTTTGGAATTCCAACTTAAGCCGTGGCCCATTCGACATGAGTGGTTTCGGCGGTGTGCCGCCACAAAAGCTATCGATCTTTTCCATGCGACCATCGATGTGCACGAACGCCAGCAGCGAGTCGTGATTATCGCATCTGAAAGAATAGATTAAAAGATCAAGTGCTTTTTATACAACCGTCGGGAAGCAGAGGTAGCAATTACTCGAATTAATCAATCAAAGTCGCACCAAAGGAAGCAAGCCTTCTTGATTTCTCCCTTGCAAAAATCGTGATAATTACTCTCTGAATTAATAATGTATCAAGCTCGCTGGAATCTCTGACTCTGAGATATTTTTAATTCACTCTAATGAACATGGTTTCAAAATTTTACAAAAACGATAAAACTGGTGCGGATGAAATTATGCAACGCTGAAAAACTTCAGAAGATCAGAATTTGAAAGGAAAGCATGTCTAATTAAACGCCGCAACGCGAAGAGTAGCAGGTTTCATATTTTTTTTGAAGTTTTAAACGTTTCCTTTCAGTTAAATTACTCCGGTGGATTGTAATTGAATTTGAAAGTACGTTGGAAAGCAAGTCAAGACAATTTTGCCTAGGTTATCAAATTCACTTCACGAAAGAAAAAACTCATTTTATATTCAACTTTGATTCAGATTAAAATATTTTAATTTAGTAAACATATAAAAAAAACGTCTTACTCTTTGGCGTCATCGTTGGGATGAAACAAATTAAAATCGTGAAAGACGATCTGCACGCGCTCCTTGCCTCGTCCTTGGAACTCGTAACGACATGACGTCCTCGGAGGATACGGCGAAGGATAATTTGGGCTCGAAAGACTGCCGTTCTTTGTGACATCGCTGTTGAAAACCACATCGCAGCTGGATCCTGAAATAAAAATTCAAAATCAATTTTTGTTCCTCTTAAAGTTAATTCAAAGTTTACTCTAAATATCACAAAGTCTTTTATAGAGCTGTATTTTTATTTTGTTAGTCTAAAAATATATGATGAATGTTTGTTTGTAAAACTGGCATTATTCACCCTCTAAGTGCATGAGGTCAGGTGACGACCTTCAAACTATCTGCAGCTGAGGAATTACGATACTTCAATGTCTAATTCGGAGTGTAAATCATGCTTTACGATGGTTAATAATGGATAGCACATAATCTATACATACGACTACAATTTACGAATTGGACATTCAATTTTAACATTTTCATATATTTCAGCCACACTCGCTGACAAGTTGATGACAATTTAAAATAATTTGCGTCGTTTCCACATACAGTTCGCTCGTACTCTGTACGCTTGATTGCGCACGTCCTTCCTGACGTTCCGACCTTTTTCGGGTCCTTTCCGGTCCTCACAGTGTATACAAAGTAACTCACAACAGAGTCCTTTTTGATAAACTAGTATAACAAGTGAAGGAAAAGCAAATATTTAATGAAAATGATATTTACGATGGAGACACTTAGTATGTGCATAACTTCCGAAAGGATCTCATTTTGGACATTTGCTTCCTAGTTCCTGCGAGCAGTAATGCGTCTAGTTGCGGTTGACTAAACTCGACGCGCACCTGATAGTTGTTGACTAAATCCCGAGAGTGAAAGGCCTATTCCCGAATGTTGGCTATTACCTGCAATGGGACTGGAACTAGTGGCAGGCTGAGGACGCATAGTGGATAAACAAGATGTATGCGAAACGTGTGAGGAATTCAGGGGATTAATTGGCAAGTACCTGGCTTCGCATTTGTGGCATATTCATACCAGATGCAAATTAGTCGAACCTTTGATGGGGACAAGTTAATTGAAAATCAACCAACAAACTTCATACCCAACTCCGAGTTGTATTAAAAACTAGTATTAAAAACTTTAATTTTGATTTTTAGTTAAAACCACTTGAAAAATTCATATCACTGACGGCGAACAAAACGTTCGCATGAAATGATCTCCAGTTTCGATCGACTATTTTTTATTTTGTTTCATAAGCGAATGAATTCTCTCCATTGTTTTATTCCCAGCGTTTGGTTCCGGTTGAATCACGCTGGAAATATGAGTGCGTCGGACGGGAGCAGAAGCGTAACAAGATCTATGTGTTTAGACGTCGATGCAATATCGGTAATAGGTATATTGCTTCAGCGTCGAAGAAATACGCAATCAAAGCGGAAAACGTGAAAATGGAGGAAATCGCGGAAACGAACGTCTCCAGAGAGCGCGTCGGGGACGACGCAACGTTTTCGTTGCCCATTACCGATAAATCAGATAAAATCCACTCGCCTTCGGCCCGCACGTACGCCGCACGTCCGCAGCTCCGGATTTATACCTGGACATGTCGAATGGGGAGCGAACAGAGAAAGTGTATAAAATTAAATCAAGTGTCATCGAATGGCCGTAACTTTTTCAACGAGACATTAAACACCGAGAAAATTGTGGAAAATAGTTAATTTTGTAAAAATTGATGAGAGTTTAATTTATATAGGTAGTAAATTGTTCTTTTGATTGTTTTTGTAATATACTGTATTTCATTGCTAACGTCTAACCTAACTTCATCATCGCCACACTTTTCCACAGCATTTTCGCGCCCGATTTGAGATGTTGCTACTTTATAAAGTTCCCTAAATGCGCTCGATTTCTTCCCCTACGGCGCGATGTCGGCGCGTGATCGTTCCAATAAAAATAAACCGTAATGACAACGGTTATGCTTCAATGCCCTACTCCCTTAAGGTATTGTGCTGAAAAACTGGCTCAGCACGAAATAAAAATAAAATAGAACAATGAGAAATAAAAACAACGCTTTGAAGTAAATAACTTCACAAAAATAAATAACCTGACAATATAAAATATAAAATTAACTTTAAACTTTCATAAAATGTGGTAAAAGTTTTTTTCTTCCACTGTAGTTTTGGGTTTTTCAGTAAAAACGGCAGAAGTCGCTAAGAAATCGCAAAGTGTGAAAAGTGCCAGCCCAATTTGATTAACAGCGTCCGGGGAGAGCGAAACTATTTTATTCAATTTTCGTACTGCGGCAGGAAACGAGGTCTCCTTGTAGACGCCGTTTGGCTGTACTTTTAATCTAGAACGAAATTGATTTAAAACGCGGGATTACGCTAGCCGGTTTCTGCCCGAGACTGAGCAACGAGTAAGAGGTAAATAATTAAGAATTAATTTGGGCAGTTACTGCTCTGAATCACTGTGCCTCTCAGGAAACGAAAAAGCAAAGAAAAAAAACGCGAAATTAATTTACGTTTCTGATGATGAAGATGGAGAAAAATTGCCTTAAAAGGAATTATAACCTGAATTAATGATGGAAACTGTGTTTGATTTCGTGATTTCAGTAAATATTTATTTTGCTCAAGTCAAAAATTCCATTCTTACTTTTATTTCCATGCGTTCTACACAACCCAGTTAATTTCATACTTTTGGTAATTGTTTGGTATGCAATTACATTTGTCAACAAGTGTTCACTTAACTCAAAACAAAATAGATTATCACGTAACACTTCAAAATATTCAAACAAACAAAAACTAATTAATTAAATGCAAACAAATGAACTGCCTTCACGTCTTAAAGATTTTCTATTGTTTGCCTTGAAAGATTTATGCGTGTGAACGGAAAACTTAAACAGACAACAGCTTACAGTGATTTATTGTCTCGTACTTGTTATACGTACATACATTTGCGTGTGTACCGCGTGTTTATTTGCGCGTGGTGGAGTTTTTTTCTCAGTGCCGAATCCATCTTTGCCAGTAAAATATTCACACGTTCGGTCCTGCATCACGCCCGCGTGGGCTAACGAATAAACTCGGCAACCGCGATATGTCTGCGTAATGTGTTTGCTAGAACGCGAATGCTTAATGCGGCCGCAACGCCCCGGCGCATCCGCCATCCGCAATCCACTACCAACCCCGACCGTGTTGCGCGCAGCCGGCCGGCGAAAACGAAAACATGAAATATTCAAACGCGGTGATGGATGGAATGCAGTAATATTAATAATGCTCCAGCAGCGCAAACCGACCTTCTGTTATTACCGTCCATTATTGCATTCAAGTGTCCAATCATTCAAATTCCCGCGCGTTTTAAGTCAACATACAGCAGACAACACAAAGTAGAAAGTAGAAAATTTCATTTCAACTTTTTAAATTAATTTCGAAGCTTTGAAGTACGAGTATATTACATTAAAGTAAAAAACGTATTGTTGATGAGCTGTTGTGTTCATGCCTAGGCACATATTTGAAATATAGCAACACTGAGTTATAGATGAATGCGTTGAAATGAGCGACGACATGGTAAAGCGGCGACGCAACATTGAACATTAATCTTTTATAATCCATCTTAACAGGATCCGTGCTTACCGACGCCTCCGGAGGCGGTGATGTTGACGGCTTGCTGGTTTGTGGTGGTGCTGCATCCTTCCGCTACGCAACCACCGACATAAATCGAAAAAACCGAACAAAATATTAAATTTTATTTCAAAACTCACTTTAAGCTGGATAGAGGTATTAAGCGATTACCTATAGAAAAATGCAGTTATTTTTATATAAAACCACTGGAACTGGTTTTCCAGAATGAATAAAATTGAAAATTCTTCGGTTGCAGGAATTATAAAGCATTTCGAAAATGAATTGATGTTATTTAAATCGCTGTAATGCCTTTTGTCTACTTCCAATTGCTCAATGAACACAATTTATGGCTTTTTATTTCATTTTTTCATTGGGATTACCATTTTTATTCCATACACTCGTAAAAAATCCATAACATGAGAAAATTCAGCGATTATTATCAGAAAATAGAAATATAATCCAACGATAAAAATAATACAACAAGGAAAATTCTATCAGAAATTAATATTTCTAGAATTGCAATGTTTTCGTGATATTAGCAGAAAAAAAACTATAAAATTTGAAAAAATCGAAGAAAAAAGAAAAGTAAAGTAAAAAGCAACAATTTCAACTTACAAATACATAACACTTTTTAGAAACAATGTAAAAGCAATAATTCATTGTCTCTGACATTAACAAGACCGAAAACTCACCGCGAGCGTTCTTTCTCGATTTTTTATAGCAAACGATTAATTTCAGCTTGACTGTAATGTCTCCTCGTAAACACTTACCAGGATCAAGATGATTAATTAATTAATAGCGTCTGCAGCGAATACACGAATGCGCTGTTGTTGGTGAAGCATGCAGATGACTGTGGAATGATGCGATGATGCGACGGTGATAATGACGGCGCGATATGAATGAGCCGAAATGAAGCATCAAACTTGTTAACGTCGCCATTTGCGGGCGCGCGCTGGCGCACGTTTCATAACCCGACGCGCTTTTGTTATGTAAAACACTAGAGTTTCAGCAGGGCGTGTTTATTCAAGCAAGGTTCTTCGCCAGCCATCCGAGGCTATGCCGAGAGCGTCATACGCGAAAGACTCCTCGGCGAACATCGCGAACTTAATGTATTCCCGTATTCCCAGTATTCCCGCACGCTGTGCAGTAAGTATTCGCATTATGTACACGAACGTAAAGATATTGAAGATATTGAGTGTTACTAAAGTCACAAAATTGTGTGGCAGACTTGAGAGTTTCAAGTTTAGGCACACTCTGTGTGCGTTTTAATATGAATGCATTGTGGATTATTAATTGCGAGGTCTTGGTACGTTTCTTGGCAAGATATGGCAAAGGTTTATTGTAAAAGTAAAAGTTGCATGAAGGCACGCGGCTTGCAATCAGGAGAGTGATTTAATATTAATTATCAATTTATAAGCATGCCGTACGACGGGGATAAATGATTCATAAGTTATGTGCTGGGATTTAGAGTAGAATGAGATTGCAATCTTACTTAGTAAGCACCCAAATAATTAAATAGAAAGGTTCCGCAAGGACCTTTTAATATTTC